ACAATTTTTTACACTAGTATTGTTCCAATTATTGTCACGATGATGTATTATAATACAGCTGCTATAAGTTCACTACACTCACATATGAGTGTCACAAGCATGTGCACCAAAGTGTTTTATTTTACAGGACATATACAATGTATTTGTCTTTTTTTAATATATACACTCATTCACTCAAAATGTACATGTTTTTACACAAGTATTGGATATTTAGTAGTCCTGAAGACTGTGATGCTGTGTGAAACAGGTGACATAGCACAGAGGGACTGCACACGCTTTGCACCATGTTAACACCCGTTTACGTTTCTGTGGCCTAATTTGTGTAGTGTTACACACAATGCACCAAAGCTGGCCTACTGCACGCAATCCAGTTGGTGGTAATTTCTTGATTTGGTGTACCAGAAAGGCCTCCTTGTAAGCGAGCCTGAGTGTGAGAGCATGGTGCAATATTGGGTCTCGAATGGGTCTTTGTATGCCATGGGTGTCTTTGCCAAACTTACCTAGTAATTGTTTCACAACTTGAAAACTAAATGAACAGAAATGTGGTTTTCTACCTGTTTTCACAAGACACATGTTGTAACTGTTCAGCATTGTTACATCAACAAGGTAAATAATCATAATACATAATAAGAGCATAATCATCATCTTGATCCTCTTTACCGTTTTCTGTACAAACACTACAGCACCCACCATCATGTCATATTTATAGACTAAACAAATGGTGATGTTGTAGTCCACCACACTAAACAAATGTTGATGTTGTAGTCCACCACACAATCTGGCTTATATATTATTTGTTTTGTTGGTCTGTTCACCTTGCCACTGTCCACCATTGTACCAGGGTGAATGGTAGTCAACATGTTCACTTCACATTTGTCTTTCCACCGGACAAAGAATTCCACCAATTTTTCTTACCTCACAATCATTACACCTACTTGCATAGCAGTGTAAAAAACAGGCATTTCCTTTTGTTTTGGCTTTACTGTGCCATACACAAATTCCAGTTCTATTATCAAGCAAGAACCTGGTATAACAGTTCAACCCGTTCTCGCAAATTCGTAAAGTCAATATTGACTTATTAACTACGTGTATAGGTGATATACTAAACATAATAGATACCCTTAAAAAGATTCATAGAAAACACCGACCTTACCTAACCTTGTTAGTATCTTAAGATAAGCATCTTATTGCTTCGTAATTACAATTATTACTTAACCTATACCTATTATAGGTTAGGTAATAATTGTAATTACGAAGCAACAAGATGCTTATCTTAACATACTAAGTAGGTTAGGTAAGGTTGGTGTTTTCTATGAAGCTTTTCAAGGGAAACTATTATGTTAAGTATGTCACCTATGCACATATTTAATAAGTCAATATTGACTTATTAAATTTGCGAGAACGGGTTGAACAGTTATCTGTGTACAATATGTGGCCCTTGTTCAGATATGGTGCAAGCAGTGCCTTCACCACACTACCTGACAAGCCATGTATGTCTTTACCAGGAATGTCTACATTTGTAGCAGAATACAGTGTCATATATGTAACACCTTCCCAATTAGTGGTGGTGGGTGGGGGGTGTTGTAGGAACCGCACAAAGCAATGAAGACAGTAGCGATCACGGAGATCCTGTAGAGATAGGATTCCCCTTTCAACATACAGGCTCTGGGTCAGAGTTGAACGAAAGGCACCAGAGCTGAGACGTAACCCAGCATGGTGACGAGCATCAAGACGGCAAAGAGTTGAGGGAGAGGCAGACATGTAATCATGATAGCCATAATACAGTTTAGACAGCATAAGAGAGGAATGTGAAGAGAGGAGTGTGCACCTATCAGCTCCCCAGTATGTATGGATCAAGACCTTAAATAAGTTAAGTAAATCAACCTAGCAGTGCAATCTTTTCTTCAAAAAACTCTCAGCCTTTATAACACCCACTGTCCTATGCTAACAAAACAAGTCACAACTAAAAGGCTAAACAATCCTGGGCTTACAAAGGGAATACTTAAATCCTTAGAT